GATTTCCCAAGACAACTAATCGGGCTTTGAAGCGTTCAACGCTCCCATCGGAATGATATTTGATTTTATAAATCCACTTGCAACCCGGAGGCTTCTTCCCTGCTAGGTAGAGGAGTAATGTCCCATGTTTCATTACTTTGGAGGGCACTGAATTTCACTAGCCATGGCATCTCTCCATCTAACATCCCGAACGACTTCAAAGAAATGCACAGGTTCTCTCTCGCATGAAGGGCTGCAAGAAAGGTTCGGTGGGGAAGGAGAATTTAGCACAATTTAAGTACTTTGTCAAACTGTAAGGCATACCCGAGGAAGCTCGAATGTGGAGTGCGAATTGAGGGACCGAGTTGTAAAGTGGTGTTAGTGACATAATCACGAAGCTTCACGGATGGCTTTCGTACACGAAGACCTTTCCCAAGGGATGCAGGGACGAGTATGCTCCTCAGGAACCTCTAGTTCTGTCATCATAGAGTCGGTTGTTCCGGTGGGAGAACGATCCGGGTGGGAGGCTCTTGTTCATGGCATTCGGCGTGGCCCTCCCCGAACTCGGTTGTGGGCACATCTTCTGTTGTGGGGTTAACGTCATCGGTCTCCACAACGTGTTCCGCATTGTTCATTGCACCAAGTCCAGGCAATGCTTCCTCGACAATGTCAACATCAACAGTAGGCAATCCTACCTCCGAATGTCTACCGTGGGCAAGAGAGGCAAACGGGAATTCATGTTCTACAAACTTAACATCTCTCGAAGTCCAGAAGACTTCTCTTTCCGAGATCAAACAATTTCCAGCCCTTTTTTCGATTGAATATCCAACAAATACATTCTTGCGACTTCTACTTGCAAATTTGTCACCTTTCCTATCTTGGTTATGTGCATAATACAAGCATCCAAATACCCGTAGATGGTCATAAGTGGGTGGCTTCCCATTCAATATTTCATATGGAGTTTTTCCATGGAGAACGGTTGAGGGTGTACGATTGATCAAGTATCCTGCGGTCAAAATGCATTCTCCCAGAATTGAAGTGGAAGTTCTCCCTGAAATCGTAGAGCACGAGCTACATTTAGGATGTGTCGATGTTTTCGTTCGGCTCTCCCATTTTGCTAAGGTGTTCCGAGTGCATGAGGTTTGATGGAGTATCCCACGTTGCTCGAAAATATCGTTGAAGACACATAAACTCGGTTCCATTGTCACTTCGTAATATTTTGACTTGTTTCTCGTATTGTCGTTCTATTAAGGCGATGAAATGCATTAAGGTTTGTGACACATCTTTCTTATTATTCAAGAGATATATCCACACGGCTCGAGAACAGTCATCAACCAAAGTGAGAAAGTAAGATGCACCACAAGACGAGGGAGTTCTATATGGACCCCATAAATCACAATGTATTAAATCAAATATATCGGATGCTTGAAAATCACTTAAAGGAAATGTGTTTACTGCATTGCTTTGATCTCTCACACACTTCACACACACGAGTTGTATCCGTATTTCTATTCACGCTCGTTCGAATGCGGAATTTTCCTAACAACTGCGGTAGGCAGGATGTCCCATTCGCTTGTGCCAAATCTCTAGTTGATTTTCCGCATTGGTCCGATACGCCTTTATGCCACTCACACCACGATACCAATAGAGTCCCTCTTTTCGTTCACCCGCTCCAATCGGCATCCTCGAAGTGTGGTCCTGCATTGCACAAAATCTATCGAGTAAAATGTACTCGTACATTTTACTTCATTCGTCAATTGTGATACTGAAATCAAATTGCAATTCAATTTCGGAACATATAGAACATGTTTAAGTTTCGAGTCCTCCATCAAGGAAAACCGATCCTTCTTTGTTTGCCAAGCACCAATTCACCATTTGGTAGTCCCACTGGGCACCCTTCCAAGGCTCGACTCTCCCTCAAGTTTTCTAGTGTTCCTGTCATATGATTAGAGGCGCCACTATCAATAATCCACAAGTCACATGCTTTCTTACCAGTCATCTTTTCAGTTTCATTTGCCTTGCGAGAATTCAACATTGCTGTCAAGATCTGCCATTGCTCATTACTCAGTCCTGCGACTTCTGGTTTTTCGGTTGAACCAACGTTATCTGCACCAGTGTGCGCCATATTGACGCGAGTCGTTCCTCCTTTTCCTCGGAAGGTTCCTGTTCTTTGTTGATTTTTTTTCATCGTTTCTATCGGTTCGTGGTCTCTCTCCCCACCATTCTGGGTAACCAATGATCTTGAAGCAATTGCCTTTGTCATGTCCCTTCCTTCCACACTGCATGCAAACAACTGATTTTTCTTTCGCTTCATTGCGCAACTTGTTCCTGGTTTCCGCTTGCATAGCCATTCCCACGATCATTCCTCGCTCTTCTTTAGACCTGGTGATTGTTCTCACCCTTTCTTCTTGCACCATGGTGCCATACACCCGATTCAACGAGGGTAATGGATCTGTTGCCAAAACATTTGACCGTGCAGTTCCATAGCCCTCATCATCTAGCCCCATCAAGAACTGATGAATTTTTTCTTCTTCTCTTCGTTTCTCAAGTTGCGTCATAATATTACACTTGCATCCCCCACATCTACACTGTGGGATTTGCTCGTAATTTGCCAGTTCATCCCACAACGTTTTCAACTTCCCATAATAGGAAACCATAGTCATTCCTTGTTGTTTGCATTCCGCCAACTCGACTTTAGCTCGCTGGATTCTTGGTCCGTTCACGATCGAGAATCGTTCCTTGATGTCATCCCATAGGTCCTTTGCGTTTTCCATGTATGCAACGAGTGGAACGCAAACTAGGTTCTATAGTGTTTAGTATCCAAGATACAAGCATCGATTGAATTGTCCACCAATCTTCTATCTCAGATGTGTCTTCTTCAGGTTCCTTATGAGTTCCATCTATGAAACCCCATTTCCTTCGAGCCCGCAGAGATATCTTCACGGCCCTTGCCCATTCCTCGTAATTCTCTCCTCGTAATTGTACCTGTGTAATCACATTTCCAGGATTATCACTGGCACTCAGATCGTATGGCGATGGTGTTTTCTTCACCGCCTCTCCTCTCTCTGCCATTTTAGAAGTACGACTGTGTTCTCGGGCTGTTGGATATCAGAGTTTGGTTCGCTCTGATACCATGATAAAAATATTTCCAAAAACCCCCTGTCTTGTATTGAATATGATAGCACAATATATACATGAAATACAGAAACATTCTAGGCTATAATTACGCTAACCATTATAGTCGGTATCCTAAATTTGTCTATTAACAGATATGACATTAATGTGCATCGCTGTTATGCCAAGCTAAATATGAAAAAAATTAATCATGTAGAATCATGGCATGATACGGTATTTGTAATCGTATATTCTGTGTTTATCAGTATGAGATATGGTATAACCGACACATAAATATGTAAGTACCAGTAGGAATAGCGTTGGCTGTAGGCCACGTATCCCACCACTGGTTCCTAGCCACATTTGTCTCGAATTACCTTAGGTCAAAGGAATATCCTAACCTTACGTCCCAAAACTTATCTCTACTCTTCGCAGATCGCCTCTTACGATGAAACATTTCATAAATGCAGCTGACATGGTAGTTCCAAAATCCAGGAGTTTGTGAATTGTATATCAGACACATTTTTCAATTTTCTTTTTCATATGGATTATGTAAGGATTAATGATGTGTGTATCTATCTCTCCGTCTCTTTTCCTTTGCATTTATGGAGCATAGAACGTAATGAGCATGAGGCTACACTGGAACGTTAATGTGCATTCAATACGATTTGGTTCCTCAAAATAAGGTGCATCTACCCTTTGTTTGAATTAAATAAGCTTGACTCATCCCTTTAAATTAGAGATAGATGCATCCTTATATATATCTACTTTACACATTTTCTCACCTTAGAGAAAGAAAATACCATGCAAAGTGGACACAAACTATTTAATGCTTTTATTTAGCCATTCGACTTGGATACTGGCTATTAAGGATTAGGGTAGTTTTAGCTCCAGGGACTACTTATCTATCAAGTAATTAATAATGATAACCAACTTCTCGCTGTATGTTATATTTCTTTTTCAAACATACTGTTTGCCATCGTTGTAGAATTGACAGATCTTCATGTGTTTTCTTTGCAGTCTGCAGATCCTTCCAATCAGAGTGAACATCTTTGGTAAATATTAGAACTCAAATTTGTATGCCAGGTTTAGTTAATTCTTTTAAATTGAAAATAAAAACTAAGTTATTCTAAAAAATATACATATATAAAATAATAAATGACTCCCAAATACAGTAATACTTACAGATAATATATATATATATATATATATATATATATATATATATATATATATATATATATATATATATATATTATGATGGTAAAAGGAAAAGAAAGATAAAGAGAAATGATGGGATGTTAAGTAAGTGTTGTTAATGTATGATTACTTTTTATTCTATTAGAGGAAAGAGATATAAAGAAGAGAAAGAAAATACTCCGTTTTGTGTCACCTTCCTCTGTGCTTAAACATTATTATAATATATATGAAATGAACAACCTATGCATAAAACAACCCAGGTTACTTGTTTGAAGGCCAGTTACCCAGCAACATGTTAAAAGAAACCCACTATTGGTTATTAGAAAATAGTCAAATTGATCATTTGTTGCAACGTGAAAAATCCTTAACAAAAATTATCCAGGCAAATGGCTTGGTTTTAAATCCATAAAGAATCTACCGAAATTCTGTTCTGGCGAGTGGATAATCAAGATTCGAGAATAGTATGTACATAGAAAAATATATGATGATGATACCAGTTAGATTTTACGGTCCTCACTTATTGACATTCGTTCTACAATCAGATCAAGTCCCACATTACGTAGAGCTAGAGTTAATCATCACCCCATTGTTTTTGAACATACACTTGAGCTATATATATAAGAAGAACTCAGGCTATTCAGAGGGAAAAATAGAAAGATAAAGGTAAGGTCAAAGGTGAAAATTTAAAGTCTGACGATCCTAATAAACTAGCAGAAAAGACTGCACCTTTTCTTCAAGAATTTTGAAGGGTTCTGATCTGGTGGGTGCATGAATTTGCAGTTAGGACAGGAAGGAGAGGATTTGCAAAGCATTACCAACATATGGCACCGCATGCAAACTGTTGCAACCATCTCTTTGTAATCTTCCTCAGTTGATGACAGCCACGAGGGAGAACGAATAATTATACCTTCTGAATCTTTCTTACACTTGCTCGGTTCAATGAACAGATCCTGATCACGTTCACTCCAACCTCCTGGGGAACCAGAACTCTGCTTCTCATTCATATTGTTACTGTCTTCTTTTTTCCTCAGTGATTCACATGTCAAATTCAGCTCAAGGTCTAAACTCATGTGATGAGAAATTGGTGGTTCGGGGCTTCTTTTGTGGTCCTCTGATGTTGTTCGTGTGTTACACAACTGTATCTGCCCTGACTACACATGGAAAAAGATCAAAGATTAACATGAAGATCATGCCAGAGTTGTGGCTTTCCAACATGTTTTGAGAGTGTATGTAAATGTACACATACCTGAATAGTGAGGTATTGGCGCCATTTATCTGAAGAAAAAGGGGTCTCAGGGTGAATCTCTATATCAAAGATAGATTTCTTTTTCTCAATAGTCGTTTGATCCTTGAAGAAGTCTTCGGCAAATGGCTCTTCCCATTTTCTCTTCTTTGATGATGCTTCAAATTCTGCATGAATTTCAGGCCTTGGACTCTCGGCCAGCGCTTTGTGAAAGGAGACCATAGTTTCAGAGAGTGGTTTCACCTTCGAAACCTTGATTTTTTATTTTTTATTTTCTTTGTGATCAAATATAAGACTGATGTCTTTATATAGGACGAGTTTCCTTTGGACTTGGGAGAAAAATTTGAAGATCGTAAGTAGAAGGACGTTGCTTATACAAACGTGGTTACCAAGTTGGCTTCTAAATAAATGCACACCTTCAAGCTTGTGCTTAACGTCTGTGATGTGATGTAAAAAAAATAAAATTACAAACATTCACTTACTCTATTTTCCGTTTTTACTTGTTTATTTCTTTTATATTTTTCACATCATTTGTCACATTTATTTAGAAATTATATTTAAAAACACTTAATTTTTACGTAATATTTTAATAAAAATTAATTTAATTTGTTTATCAGATAACATTTAATTTAATATTTATTAATATTTTTTTTATCTAAATTGTTATTTTTTTCTTTTTATTCCTCACTCCTCATTTTAAATGAACATTTATAACCACTCTAAAAAGTCTGTGAAGAAAATTTAGGTGATCACATCAGTCCTTGCAGCATTTAATTTGTAAACAATGTTGGTCAAATATTATTTATTATGAGATTTATTTATATTAATGAATGAGATAATAAATAGAAAGACTAAATTTGACTAAAAATCTATAAAACAAATATTTTACACTAATATACAGTTTTTCTAGACTTAAATAAAAATAAAATTAATTATTTTTACACTAATTAGAAAATGGTTGAAATTATATCTACTCATCGCACTTAAATAATATTTTTTGCTAAGACATCATTTGATGAAGGTTGTTAATAAAATTAAAATAACGTCTCAATTAAAAACAATTTCATTAATCATTAATTACGATAAAAATAGTTAAAAGTTATTAGTATTTAATATTATTTTCTTACAAAGAAGTCCAGTATATATACAAGTATGAATTACTATTAGTAGTACACTTTAATTCAAAGATGTGGGTATTTCGAATTTCAACAGAATTAAATGATACCTTTAATTCTGGACGAAATAAAATTTTAAAACGATGTCATTGTATGAATTTAATATGTTGATGAAATGTTATTCTCGCATAAAATATTTTTTTTTTCTTTTTACTCTATTCCATGCACTATTGTCACAAATTCAAGATGCGATAGTATATTAATATTAACGTAGTTTCCACAAAAACATGAAAACAGATTAATTGAAGACACAAATTCGTTAAATTAATATATATATATATATATATATATATATATATATAAAGAATACAAATAGATGAGGCAGAATTTAGAAAACAAGGTAAAAAGTAGTTATGATATTACAGTATAGTTTGTACTGAAAATAATTGAGATGAATAAAGATATTTGAATTAGTTAAAATTGAAAAAAAAAATGTTTAATTGCAACGATAAGTGAATAAAAAAAGAAAAGAATTGATTGGGATGCATGTTGACATGACGTAGAACTAGAAAGGGAAGGGAAAAGGCGAGAGAAGGAGGTTTGGCAGTTATGAAAGGCGGTGAGAAGTGGAAGACGATGGATGGAGAGGTATGGCATGGTCATTAATGTTGTTAGTGTGTACAGTTGAAAGGAGGGTCTTCAATGCCATTGCCATTTGCCATTGCTTCTTTAATGTAAATAATAACTCCAACTTCCCCAATTCTGTCACTCGCAAAACTAATATCTTTAAAGCTCTCAACACCCTCTTCACCCATTAAAACCAACCACGCCTTAGATGACCTATGCTATTAAACAACCCTTTAAAGCCTCTCAACACCCTCCCCATTAAACCAACCAAGTCCTATGAGTTACCAAATAAATAAACGCCAATTTAATGTTCCTTCATCCTCTCTCTCTCTCTCTCTCTCTCTCTCCATAGTAAATCTTCCAAACAACCCCTCTCCTCACATTCATCCATGTAGTTTTATCTTCACTCTTCCTCCTAACAACTTCCCAATTCACCTTTAATATCACTTACCTTGTAGCATCACAACCAAATGTCGTTTTACACAAAAATTTAATAATAACATAGCTTTTTTTCGTAACCCAGAAATAGTTTGGTGGGTCAACGGGTTGCATTGACGGAGTGCAAAGTATGGCTTCACTTGGTGTGATGCATGTCTATCTTCATGTACGTTAACCACACAAATTCACGACAGAATGCTCTGATTCTGATTATCTCGTAGACCATTCATTAAGGTAACTGGGCCATCTTAAAAACTGAAATCAAATGTTTTCAGACAGTTAATCATTAACCCTATTTTCTGTTCCTGCTGGTCTTATAAATGATTCACTTCATATTATAAACTAAAAAATCAATTCGAAAAAGACACAAGTAGATGTGACTGTAAACATATGTTTGTTCGTTTTTAGGAGGGGTTTGGTTGTGCTTCTTTACATGGAAAATGTAAGATATCATAGGTTAGCCTCTTAGGTTTCCAGGGGTGTTCATTGCTAACGTCACCAAATTACTCTCTGATTTGTTGAGATTTTTACACACTGGATCAACAGAAAGAAAAATAATAATAAATGGTTGTGGTAATTAGTGATATAAAAGACATAGGTAGTAATAGAAGGTAAAGAGAAAAGGGTGGCAACTACCAAGGCATTAAAACAAGTCTGTTTTGTTGGTCATCTTTCTTCTTCATTATAAGAGACAGTTTTGTTCTGTTAAATGCCCCCAACCCACCCTTCCTTCCCTTCATTTATGTTCCCCTCTTCCTTCCTGTTCCAATCACTTCACTCTTACTACAAACAAAATGTCAAAATCTACTCAACTACCTCAGTTCAACCCCTCCATCTCCTTCTCCTTCTATCAACCATTGATTGTAAGAATGCTTACCTTACAGTTGCGTACCTCACATGTAATCACCTAATTACAAATGGATCATGAACGGGAAATATATTTTTTAGAATCAATTTAAGTGTAAAAAATATAATTAATTTGAGGAAATTATTTGATTAAATATGCCTGTCATCTTTTAAAGAAAAATAAAGTAGTCACTTTAAAGACTAAGGACACGTGTTGCAGTATTAGAATTTCAAATAATTTCATTGACATTACAAATTATAATTTTCAGTAAAATGTGATTATTATAAATATTAAAATAAATCTTTTAGAGTTAATTTGGAGATAATAAACTCAATTTATCTATTCAGATAAATAACATAATTAAGTATTTATTCATGGTGTAAATATTTATTTAAATTTTATTTTACAATAATAATAATAATAATAAAGAAATTGAAAAAAATATATTTATAAATATTTTGAAGATAGAAAAATAAGAAAATATCATGAACTATAATTTGTATATTTCTTCTTTTATAAACATCTTACTTATAGTTTTGTAATAATAATTAAGGATTATGATTTGTATATTTTTATACTTATATTATCTTTGTAAATTTTAAATTTAAATAAATTTTAATTAAAATAATGTTTAATATACTGCAACTTAATGTAAAATATGATGTTTAAATATTATAAAAAATTAATTCTAAAAAAATAATATTTTTCAACATAAAAAAGTATTTGATCTAGTTTGATTTATATATTTTTTTAAGTAATAAAAATTATAAAAAATGTTGTTTTCATACAAAATTAATATTAACTAAATTTGAATTCATGTGACTCAACCTTAAATTCGCGCAAATCAAACCGATAAAACAAAAAATTCATATAGCTAATTTTATAACATAAATTTTTTCAAGTTAATTTAAATTGGATGGAGCTTTTTAGACCTAAATCCCCTTAAATATGACATTTTCTTAAGCCTATTTTTAATTTCAATAATCATCAAATGTGGATTTTTCTTTAACTGAAGACTATTAATTACTACTCTCGTGCGTATGAAAGATGAGAACATAAAGTTTGTTGTCAGTATTACTCTCAAAATTAGTAAGTATATATATATATATATATATATATATATATATATATATATATATATATATATATATATATATATATATATATATATATATGAATATTTATAAACAATGAAAAAATATAAATTAGATTAATTAACAATTTTTAGTATTCGTTATTAAAAAAAAAGTAGCTGTTGCACAACTAAAAAAAATTGTTTTGATTTCTTATAAAAACTCAGAAAATGATAATGTCATTTGACTATTGTAAAATTTTTACCTACAAAAGGTATTTCACTTTCAAGAATGACAATTCATTCATTGTTCAAATTAGTTATATTTTGTGTTTTTAGTGATTTGTTCAAATGTTTACGTCGTAGTATGTTTTTTTATTTTTATTTTTTATTTGGAGAACATCCTTTGTATGTAAAAATAGTTAGTTCGAGTCAAGAAGAAATATTATCAAAATTTTATATTTTTTTAATTAAAATACTATAATTAACACAAGCATAATTAATTACAAACTATAATAATTTAAAATACGATATGAGCCTATTAATATATATATATATATATATATATATATATATATATAACATAATTTTTTTATTTTTTTCTTTATTGATTTTACTTCGTTGATTTACTTTATAAAAATAAATTTATTTGATTGACATATATGTTAAGTATTATTAGATTTGATTCCTTAAAAAATATACAAATTTATCTGTATTTAAATTTATTTATTTTTTTATCGTAATTCTTTTATGAATTTTGTATTTATTATTATTATTATTATTGTTGTAAATGATAGGTGTCAATAAAGTTCTAGATCAATTAATTACTTCCTTATTAACCATACCCTTACATTTTTTTTATATTACACGTGTATTTATTGTATTAGATGAAAAGAGAAAAGGATAAAATAAGAAAATACATAACAATTTTATTAAAATTAAAAAAAATATTATTATATTTCTTGATTTTGAAAAACAACTTTATAAGAAGGGTAAAAAGTTGGAGGATTAACATCTAACAGCATATTTAGTGAAACTAAGTGTACCTTCCTAACATTATTTTAATTAACATTTACGTCTCTTCCAATTTTAAAATAGATATTAATATCTTTTAACAAACAAT